AAAAGCTAAGCAAATCGATCCCCTTAAGTCACAAGATGATTTAGAGAGAGAGAGAGAGAGAGAGAGAGAGAGAGAGACCCGACATGGAAGGGTCAAGGTTATCAATCCGCGAGGGAGCTGTAGATCTAAGAGGTCGGAAGATACTGAGCTGGCAATGCAGTGTATACATACAGAGAGAGAGAGAAAACAATTACTAGAAAACCACACCATATGTGACCAAAATTTCTTTTAACAGCTTTGATTCATAATTAATTAAATATGTACATAAAATAATGAACAATTGTGATACAGAAGTCAATGATTGCAGCAGGAAAAGAATTATTATTTGTTAATCTACAATTAGAATAGCTCGTAGGGTGACTATAAGTCCCTAGTCAACTTCACTAATTCGCTTGTTGCAGCTTCTTCTAAACATGCAACGCATCTAGAAGCTTTTAAAAACATGCAAAAAAGAAAACGAACATATTAAGAAATACTGAAAACATCTAGAAGCTAGCTATTAAGAAATACGGAAAACTCAAAAAGGGGTCAGAATGCAATACCCATTTGGCAGCGTGCAATAGCTCTGCAATAAAACAGAAGACAAGGCCAGGGTCCCCCCAAAGGCCGCCTATCTTTGCGTTGGCCTTTTCCTCTATCTTTTTAGACCCTTGGTGTTTGCAAAGTGCTTAGAAGAGTTAAAGAGCTACAAAAAAGTGATTGAAATAAGATCAAATGAGGGCTAGCCATAGGTTTCTTTATATATATATATATATTTTTGTTGTTGTTGTGATTATATTTCGTGCGTTGAATCATCACAACAAAACGAGAGCACCTAAAAGTTTGAGTAAGGAGACAAGGCGAAGAAGCCAAGGAGGCAATGGACTAGAGTCCCTCTTACTGTCTAGTTACTCTTATTATTACTCACCCTAATGCTTAGCTCACACGTGGTTGATGTTTGATGGGAGATTGAGACTAGGTCGTCTTGTGACTACTCATTGCTCAATTTGAGTGATTACATGATAGGCCCATCTCTATCAAGGTGGCTAATTATATACGCAAGATTTGGAGTAATATGTTGGTATAATCTTTGGTTTTCTTGTATTCATGGGTATTCTAGAAGATCTAATTAACTTGGCGGCTCTTGAGCTCGGAGAAAGAGTCCAAGTTCTCGCAAAACCTTTTGTATGCAAGCTAGCGGTTCTAAACTTTACATGTAAGAAACAAGGAGATAAATGGATAATTAGCCCTTCAGTGCAAGGCTTTGAACCGTTTGCTCACATGCCAGGCTGTTCTCAAAAGATTCACATTCGAAAAATTATATATTTAGTACTCTTGTCGATATCAAAAGTTAGGTTGTGAGACTTATAGGGTAGATTTTGATGAGCTTAGGGTCACTTAATCTTTTTCAATGACTGGTTACTAAGCGAAAGAGAGCCTTGCATGCAAGCAACACGTTAGAGGACTGGAGTTGGATTCTTCGATGATTCCTCCGACGATCAAGTCAATAATGGTTTGAAGTGGAGGAAAAATAATTCTAGTGCAGAAATTGCATACCTTTGGACAATAAGTGTGTGCCTATTTTATCGAACCTATGAGGGCATTTATGTAGTTATGATTGAATCCATGCAGTCGGCTCAGTCAGACGATACCTTTATAGGTGTTGGTATTTAGTGAGTTCAAGTCACTCCTGTGATTGATATGATGCTGATAGAGGGTTTAAGGTGTTGGCGTGGTCCGTGGGTCATTAACACCCCAGCGGCGGTGCAATGATGACTCTAACCGTGTATTTAATATGAGAGTGACTAGCTGTCGTTGATGGGTTCGAGGCGGTGCAATGATGACTCTAACCGTGTATTTAATATGAGAGTGACTAGCTGTCGTTGATGGGTTCGAGATGTCGTTGATGGGTTCGAGATGCACCGCCTTTCGTCTTGGCTCTTTGAGGAGGTCAAGAAATATACGTCTTTTGATTCGGCCTTCATGATGTTCGGGCCGAGTTGGTGTATAATTTACTCGAGACAAGTGTCGCCTTCTGAAGTGATGATTAACACTTGCTTATTTCTATAATACAACAGCTCTAGACTTAATACGTTGATATATCAGAGAGAAAAATATCAAATTTATCACAATATATACATGGTATTTCAAGAGAGAGCCCTCAAATCAACGCAAGACATGAGAGATGTTGGATAGCATGTTCCTAATATGTTTCCTACTTTATTTTGGTAACAGTTTATTAGGATTCCTAATCTGTTTTGGTAACAGGTTATTGGGATTCCTAATTTGTTTTGGTAACAAGTTATTAGGATTCTTAATCTGTTTTGATTTGGGTTTTAGAAGTCCTAGTATGCTTTTGGTTTTAGGATTTCTATATATATAGGAACACGTGAGCAACGAAGGGGATATTTGGAGCACAGAAAAGAGGTATTTTCTGAACTATTGGTTAGGGTTTTGTTTGGAGAGACTTAGAGCTTTGTTGGTGAGATTAATTGGTGAGTTTGTGTGATTTTATAATCTCAGTTTGTATTCTTCTTCTTTATTAGTGAAAACATCATCCCCTTCTTGCCCCGTGGACGTAGGTAACTTGCCGAACCACGTTAAAATTGGTTGTTTGAGGTTGTGTCATTATTTTGGATTGTTTGGCCTTCTCTCAGCGTTTGTTTGATTTGGTCTCTCGAAGCACATCGGTTTGGTTTTGACTTCCGCCGCGCACAACAAATAGTATCAGAGCCTAACAAGAGATTAGATACTAATGTACTAGTCCATGAATCATCCTCTTCGCTCCTCACATCAGAATTGGACTGCATCGATAGTAATATGCATGCTCAACTAGTCGGTAAAATTTTGATAGATCATTATAGTGGACTGATCAGATTTTCTTTCTAGTACTCAGAAGCCTTTTAGCACTTTTTTTATATCACTATTAAAGTTGAGGACCACATTAACGTTATTCATGTATTTCAATTAGAATCAGTTTTCCCCCTAACAATTAAATCCAATTAGAATATGTTTAAGGGCTTGTTTGGATTGAGAGGAATAAGAGTGAAGGGGAGTTAGGGAAACCATTCACCTCCATTCACCTTGTTTGGGAACATTTAGAAGGTGAAGTTATTCACCCTAGTTCCCCTTGGTTCACCCCCTAATAGTATAAAATTTGTTACCCCTCAAATTGGGGTGTAACCAAGGGGAAATGAACTCCCTTCCCTTCCCTTCCATTCTCTCACCTAGTTTCCCTTAACTTCCTTTCACCCCCTACAAATCCAAACAGACTCTAAAGGAAAAAAGAAGAAAATACTAAAAATTCATCCCATGTGGAAGGAACTTTTTAATTTTTTCGGTAACTAATCTTGTCTTGTTACTGTTTAAGAGATTGCTACAATTTAGTTATTATTTAGAATTACAATTGTATATTAACCCTGATTCTAGTCATGTCGTTTTGAAATACACACTTCTAGACATTCATCTCATTGCAAGCAAACCATGATCAATAATACGCTGCTAAGGATACCAGTCAAAATTTACAGATTTTGCAGCGCACAAGTGCGCGCGAAAAAAAGAAAAAAAAATGGGGGGAAAAAGGAAAGAAAGAAAGAAAGAAAAAAGGCTGCAGATCGAGAGCTAGACCCACAGACTAAAACATCTCCAACAGCTTCCCCATTTCCTACTTTTGGAGAATATAGTTAGGTTTTTAGTCCAACAGATTCTCCATCTCATTCCCCAAAATAGGGATGGAGAAGAAAAAATAGGGATGCTTCCCCAAATCTGTAGCATTCTCCAAATTTTTGGAGGAAAAAAGAGATTCTTCAAAATGAGGAAGCTGTTGGAGTTTGTATAAAAATAATTAGAAGAAAATGACTTTTGCTTCCCCATTTTGGAGAAAATTTTAGAGAAGCTGTTGAAGATGCCCTAACAATACCGACCAAATATTAACCGGGCTTCTATAAAAAACATAAAATAATGATAATAATAACAATAATAATTAAACTCACGGGTCTCGATTTTTGCATACCTAACAAACCCACCACAAAATCGAAATCCATCAGGGATTTCAAAGAATCAAAATGGCAGCACGTTCGGATTGGATGGAAGGCCGCAGACGGGCCATTTTGTTTCCCCAGATGGGGGGTGTTGAGAAGGGAAGGATAACTAATCATAAAAGATGTTTGTCACTCTCTCATTACCATGGATCAACGATTTTCCTTTCCGTTTCCTTTACTCCCTAACATTATGAAATAAGTTCCCATAAATTCCCCTCGCTCAACACCCAAATAAGATATCACATTTTTCTTCTCCTTTTCTTCCTTCCGCTTCCCTAATTTATCTTCCCTTCCCTTCCCCTAGTAAACTCCCGAAAACTGTGTAAATGACACTTTACACTGGTGCTCTTCCTCACAGGGATTTCTTTCTGAACTGAAAGAGAAATTGGCCAAAAGCCACTCATCCTCTACCGAGAATTACTAAGAAGGCTCACAGTACAACTTTTCTAACATGCATCCAGCCCTCGACCTCTAAAAGATTTAAGCCCAGAACAATCAACCTACACAATGTACACATGCCTATACAAAGTCACGGTTCATAATACATGCGCACGTCCGCAGCGGTCACAATGGCCGGTTATTACACTAGCAAATCAGCATAGATAATTCAGCATAAAGAAATAAACACTCAGATCTTGAATGAACGCACCCACTAACCAGAACTTTCAATCCCAGGTTTATGAAAATATATAACTGTGATCATATAGTCGGAACCAGAACTCGACGCAAAATACATGATCCACTAATGAATAAACCTCAACCTTGTAAGCAGGAATTTAAGAGTAACAAGCTCCTAAACCACATGGAAAAAAAAAAGACATAATTACCAGGCATGTGAACTGCTCATCCTCGCCTGTGCACCGCAGCCTTTTAAACTTACAGGTTATGCTTAAAACAAATAGAACTCATTTGCTTTATGGAAAAATGTCAAAATAGATAATCAAGAAACGTGCAATTTGAAGACTTAGTACAGATTTGGCATTTCCAAAGCAGTACAGATTTGGCATTTCCAAAGCATATACTGTCTTAAAACACAACAGCTTGAGAATTAGCACATTCAGTTGCTAAGTAGCATGACACTATCAGCTAAAACGCATTAAACCATACGGCCCAACATTCACCAGATGTTCACACACTTTTCTAAACATCACCGAAACATACAGTCTTTAACCCAACAAGGAAAGGGTAAAAAGGATCACATCAGTTTTGAGAATTAGTCCTTTCTGATACTCAGTCGCATAATACTATCAAGCTAAAACACATAAAATCATAAGGTCCACCATCTACCCAATATATCCCCATCAGAGGATCAACTGAGAATAGCCAGCTTACCTAGCATAAGCACTGGACCGACGGCCATAGCTGCTTCTTTCTGGACTCCTATATGGAGAGTAAGACCGGTCTCTTCTTGATCTGCCTCCATAAGGTGATCGCCGAGGAGAATAATCGCGACTACCTCGGTAAGGTGAGCGCCTCGGTGACCTACGGTACCCACCACTATACTCTTCACGGCCATAGCCACCTCCACGATACCTACCACGATAGCCTAAAAGAGGCACGGATGATAATTTAGGATCTCACTAGGGCATAAGTATTCTTCCTGCCCAAACTTCTACAAACCAATGGGTCAAGCAAAACAGAGGTTAATTGCGGATAGAAACCCCTCTGCGGTTCTATTGGTGCACATAGACCCCCTGAGAGATCTTTTATGACTATTAAGAGTCAAAAAACTTCAGTCAGGGGGTCTATCCACACTTGGGCAATAATACATGGAGTCTAGCAACACCAACAGAACTGCAGGGGGTCTATCTGCAAGTGGGAGGTAGTACAGGGATATATCCACAACTAACAAAAATAACAGGTGGTTTAAGGTGTCTGAGTATACTTACTATCTCGGGTATTTTTCAGGCCAAGGTAGTTTCCAGGAGTAGGAGTGCGCGGTCGTTGCCTCTTTGACTGAATAAAATAACAATTACAAATTTAGCTTTCAAAAGCACCTATTAACCTAAGCAACTGGTTAAGGCACAAAAATTCGAGAGGAATCCCATGTAAAACAAATTTTATTAATTAAACAACTTTAACATAAACGCAGATAATATGGTTAAAGAAGGAAGCACTAAGGATCAGAGCAGTGAAGTTGTAAAGACGAAAGACTAACACCATGACATGGACAGGAACTGTCAATAAACGAATGTCGGGTGAGGTACCATAAATGCCCGATTAGAAGAGTTGCTAGTGTCCGTTGATTAGTTGTTGAGTGAATGCTGAGGTTGTTAAGTTGAACAAATTTGCTATTGTTTAGTTGATGTGATGCATGGAAAACCATTAGGCTGGCCATTCATCAAGCTGTATAGACTAAGTTGAGTTGGATGAATGGACTGAGCATCTTTGATTGCTGCCAACATAGCTGATGCAATAGCTTCTGAATATAACCAAAAACCTTCGAGTCAACCAAAATGAAATGGAAAAGGTTTTATTCTATGATCTTTACAACACTGTACCTTCTCCACAGTTATATGCCGACCCTCCAAAACCGAGTGATTAAGATATTTCACGCAGCGATCAGCATCTTCAATGGTGTCCATAGATATAAATGCAAAACCTCGGGAGATGCGAGTGCGTGGTTCCACAATCAGACGGCACTCAGCGACCTAAGTAAATTAATCCATTTAGGCACTGCTGCATCAATACACCAAAGTAATGAATTAATCCCAAGCTAACCTTTCCCTCTTTAGAAAAGTGATCTTCAAGGGCTCTTTCTGTGACTCTTGAGGAAAGACCTGTAACATAAAGGGTATTGCCAGGATTCGTCGGATCCACCCTGCTACCATGACAAAATTTCATTAAAAAAACAAAGATAATAACAAAAAGGGTTTATTTGAAATAGTCCCCCAAATCTTTCATTGTGAAATTTGTCCCCCAAATCTTTAAATGTTTTGAAGTTAGTCACCCAAATCTTGATGCTTTGAAATTAGTCCTCCAAATCTTGAAACTTTGAAATCAGTCTCCCAAATCTTTTAAATATTTTGAAACTAGTACTGCTAACTAGCAGGTGGTTGAAAGATTTAAGGGACTAATTTCAGAACAATTAATAGGCTGTTTGATAACCAGTATTTCATTTCTAATTCTAGAATTGGGCCAATTTCATTGTTTGGATTCAAAAGAATTTAAGACCCAGGAATTGGCATAATTCCACTAACATTCTAAATCCCTGCTTACAACCTGTCATGCAATTTCACTCGTTCTTATTTTAACTCTCGCGGCCCCGATCCTCTTGCAATTGCACTCTCTCCACTTCCACTCTCGAACGCTCTCTCCCCACTTCAACCAAAACCCTAGCCTTAGATCCGATCAACGACTCGCAAGCCCTAGTCTCTCCTCCGACGATCATCGACGATGGTGAGTTCCTCTCAATCCTTTATCTTCAGTTCCACCGAAACCCTAAACCCTGGATTCAAACTCTCCTCTTCCCCTATCAATTTATTTCTCTCTCGAGCTCCCTCTCGGTCCCCCCCCCCTGAAACCCTAACCCTAGGTCCAAAATTGGGAGTCTGTGATTCCAGCTTTCACCTCTCTTTTTCTTCTTCTCTTCGCCAACTTCGGTTAGGTTTCGACAACTTGATTGGTTATTATGATCTCCTATCATGTGACTGATCTAGTTCTCTCATTCTGACTCAATCAGTATGAGTTCCTCTTGCTCTTGTTGCTGTGGTCATTTTTTAAGTAACTGTTCTCTATCTGCATGCGTGAAAGATGATGCCTTTTTTTGAACTAATCTCTTTATTGTAGAATATCTTTGACCATGATTCATAAAAATTAGTATCGAATACATTTCCATTTGTTCAGAGATTTTGGCTTGTTCTCACCGCTAATAGTGATAGCAATACTATACTTACAACCAAATATCAGAGTGTATACTCCAATTTGCCATTTGATTGGGCTTGTATGTGAGTGCATCCTCTAAGTTTAATGCTTTAATCTAATATACGATAATTAATTGATGTACCTCAATGCCACAAAAATCCATAGCTTGGATAACTACCATATATTCAATCCGTGAAATGCAAGTCTGAAAGGCGTAGCTCTCGCTTTAATTTTGAGCTTCAAGTGATTCTTACTTTTGCTTATTACTTCTCTTTGTAACTTGTAATATGATTTTTTAAGTGCAAATTCATTATGAATTTCATGGAGCTTTTTAAGACTTTTTCGCTTATTTCGAGTATTGGAAGTAAAGCTAAACACTCGAGATCTGACACTAGCTTTAACATGTTTGTCGAAGATATCAGAGAAGGTGTGCTTGTAAGTATCAATACTTCCCTTTATTGTATATCATTACTATTTATACGGGAAACATGAAGGTTAATTTTTGAAAGGAGGACTAGTATTAATATGCTGAAATATACTAATATTAACTTTTAATCAGAAAAAATATCCTGAGAAGTCTCCAAATTCCTGAAAGTAGTATTAATATGTTCTCACATTTTGACAGGATATAGGCTGTCTTAAGTGCTTCATGTCTATGATTGTTGAAAAAGCTCAAAGGTGATTCATAACATAACATTGAAGTCATGACATATGCATGTTACTGACTGTGAGAAACCAATTTAGTGATTATCAATTTAATTCAGTTTCTTATGTATATGCACAGCAACTGCCAATGGATCTCGTAAGATTATTTAATCCATTTCTATGTTTTGATTTTCTGGTCAATAAAATCTAGTAATGGATTTACCACCATGTCACCTAGCAAGTTAGGTTACAAATATGGCCTTCAAAGATCTAAGTTTCTTGACTCTAGAATAATTTGACTCTGAACTTGTGCAAAACTCCCGAAAGTTCAGGGAGATTTTTTTTAAAATTACCCTTCTTTGCTCATATTAATTTTAGCCTCTGAACTTGTTTATGGAAGTTTACTTTGTGAGCTATTAGTGAACTATTACATGTTTATGTGACTATATACCTTAATGATTCCCAAAGTACTGGTTTCTATGAAAGCATTGGCCTTGACACGCTAAAGATTTTGATTTGCATATGATCATCGAGGTAAATATTGCTCATATATTTCAAGACATTTTACTAGTTTCCACACAAGATAGCACCCCATTAGGTGATGAAATACAAAACTCAATCTGGACATCTCAATCAACTCAGGTCTGCTAATTTTGTAGTTTTTCTTAGGGTTTCCAGCATTGTTGTTCTTCCTGTTCATTCTGAGGTCCCATTGAGGTCCCTGCTGCTATAACCTAAGTAGTGTTTTTCTAACTTTCTTTTTTAATTTACCCTATTCATGTAGTTGCCAACTTGCCATAGATTGATACTTCACTCAATGTTATCATGAACATTCTCTTGCTCTCTTTTTTCCTTCATTATTTAGTTATTTCAGTTCAAACATATACTAACGCAAGTCTATTATAATAGAAAGATATTTCTCTATTTGTCTTATAGTTTCCATAAATTGATATTTCGCACAATGGTCACTAACTAATTCTCATCTTTTCCTACATTGTTTGATGATTTACACAGATTGATATCAGTGTGAGAATGTTGAAGTACTAACCCTATCCTTACATAGACTAGTAGCTCAAAGTCTTCAACAACCACCAATTTTGCTCATGATGAGGATCAAGCTACACGAGTGTTCTCAAGAGCTATTGCAAGTGTTTTGATGAGGAAGTGAGCTTTGGAGGACGCTATCAAATACAGAGGAACCGAAAGTTGATGTGTAATGGAGAAATCAATTCAAGAGATAGATCCAAGAGAAGAAGAGAGTTGACGCAAGAGTACTTTAAGAGAAGCATCCAATTTTTGACCTTCCAAAATCGGTACTTTAATTTTTGTGTAAGTTGGAAATAGATATTTTGTATATAGACAATAATGGATTGTGATATCAAATGTTGGCATTTGTATTTTCGTGGAGTTTAAAATCCATGAGTACAAGTTTTTTGGGATTTTTTACTTTTTGAAATGATCTCATAAATGTAAGTCTTTTGGATAATATATGAGAAAGTGAATAAAAGCTTATTATTTAATGACAAGTCCTTTTCCTTCATCGTATTAATTCATTGCCTCCTATCTTTATCTTGATAAAGAGGAGCTTCGACAATGTGAATCAAGAGAAGCATATTGAAATATGAGTTGAAACAAACTAGGTAATCAAATTCAAATCTAAGAATTGAAATTCTAAACCTTCCCAAATAGAGAATTTGGAATTGAAAAAAAAAATTGGATTTGAAATTTTAGTCATTTCCAAACAAAAGAATTGGAATTGAATTCCAAATTTGAAATTCTAGAATTTCAAATAAAATCCTTGAATCCAAACGCAACCTAAAAGAATTGGGGACTAGTTTCAAAATATGACAATTTTGGGGGGCTAATTTCTAAAAATTTAGAAATTTGGTGGCCTAATGCCAAAATATCAAGATTTGGGGACTAATATTGAAAAAACCCTAACAAAATTTCAAGTAAGAACAGGCAATTACCTGCTTCGACTTCGAGACCGTGACCTTGACCTTGAAAAGGATCTACGTCTCGGAGATGGAGACCTGGAGTGGGACCGTCCTCGGGATCTGGGCCCAGGATGGGGAGACCTTGAAAGCGCCCTATGGCGGGGAGGAGATCGAGATTGGGACCGGCCACGAGATTGTGTCTTTGGATGAGGAGATGGTGACCTCGACATTGATCTTCGCCCCGGCTGGGGAGAGGGAGACCTCGACNTGGCTGTGACCTTTGGCGAGGAGATGGAGACCTCGAAAGGGACCGGCCCCTAACTGGAGACCTGGGGTGGGGAGATGGAGACCTGGACTGAGAATGTCCTCGAGGGTGCATCCTGGGGGCAGGAGACAGAGACCTTGAGTGGGATTGGCTCCGAGCTCTAGGCATTGAAGAGGATCTCGACCTTGAGTGCCTGAAAATAATACCAGGTTAACTAATGACACATATGGTGAAATCACAAAGCAAGTTAAACTGATAAATACACTTCACATTTAATCTGGAGTGCATCATTCATTAGGGAATAACAAGTATCAAACTGGGTTACATGATTAAGTTTAGAATGAGCTGCACTTCATCAGGTAATAACATCAGTTACACTTATATGTCTGTTAGAATTTCACCATTTCTGAATAAGAATAAATGCATTAAAGAAGAAAGTATGTTTGCCATTTCTCCCTCCCTCTTACCTCCAGCGGAGGCCACTTTGAGGTGGACACAGGCAATAATTTTTAATTGGGAAAATTAAAACAAATAAGTATGCACACATGAATACTCTCAGTCTTAAATAAAAAGCAATTAACATAATAATCAATTTGGAGTTTCATGAGGGACAGAAAGAGGGACCCAAATAAGAACTGATAATGTCAGATGAACCACAAAGGCTTGAAAAGAAAATCAGTAAGGCAATGTGGAGGGTCAAAATAGAAGTATGTATAGTTAAATGTAAATGAGGACTAACTTCAAACGATCAAACTGGAACCCTCACAGCAACGACACCGAACATGAAAAGTAACTACTCAAGAAAAGTACTGTGACAAACACTTCTAAGACTAAACAAGGTATAGACCAAAATTTTGCTCAAAGAGGCTATAAAATGAATTGAATAGGAGCACCATCTGAGAATAAAATCAATTGCTATATACTCATTTTACATGCAGGTCTATTGAACATATGGACTCAAGAAGAAATACCGCAAAGAGAATAAGATGATTAAACTGCACTCACAAGAATAAGAATTTACACATACAAATTGCCATAATCAAAATTTTTTAAGCTCCTTTCACTTTCTTCTATGGCTCATTGGCTCTTTACATATTCTTAGACGAGAGGAAATCGTCAGAAATCACTCACCTTAGTTTATCAATTTCACTTTCTTCAACTTCACCCTCTTATAACTAATGTATTCTCTCTATTGAATGGCCTGATGAGATGAATTGTAACCATTATTCTAGAGCAAATATTAGTCTGGCATTGGAAGTAGGGATGAGCACCAACTAAGAGGTTCCTAAATTGACATTTCTAGAAAGAGAAACCACAGAAATGGGCAAGGTGGCCCACCTTTCCAACAAGGCAAACATAGAATACCTAAGCAAATTGTAGGCAAGGGTAGCTGCTGCATGCTGAAGGTATATAAGAGTTTGTCTTACAAGAAAGCCCTGACATTAATCTGGCATCATACATAACAAGAGCTACAGGTTTATATGCTGCACCAATCAGAGTTACATAGCAATTACATATCAATTAGAAATTACTAATATTCGATCTTAATATATATACAGGTGTTACATTAAAGCGTCTACAGAATTAAAAGGCTGATTATCCCCAAGAAACAAAGTTGATCCATGAGAATCGCAGTGTCAAAAGGAAATAGTAAAAACCCACTGAACTTACCACCTGTCCAAGTTTCCTAAGTATGGCACAAAAAATCCAGAGAACTAGGATAACAAAGTGGATAAAACACACTACACTAAGCAACATAATGCATAACTTTTATGTGTCTGGTCATCTGCGGCATGCTAATGTGGACAACAAAGGTTGAAAAGTTTAACTGGTGTAATAATACCAGTCATGCATAGACTTGCAGTTTGAATGTGAACTGTTAAGCGAAAATTCTGCATCGTTATAAGTAACTAATGGCAAGTCAACAAGAATTTCTAGTATTGAGTTAACAGCAGTTCAAAATCACAGGATGCTTTCATGTACAACATGAGTGTATGTCGATCGTGAATCTGAGGGCAGCAAGTATGTTCTATCTAATGCTGATTCTTTTCAAGTATTCAACATGTTGGACACTCAAGCACACTTAGGGAACTTCTCAAACACCCAAATGACACTAAAAATAAAAGACTACCTATATGTCACAGGTGGCTAGTATCTTGGAGCTTTTATATGGAAGACAATAATATCTAGAGTACCAAGTAAACTTCAAAGCTTAGTTTGTCACGCTCCTAATCAATTGCTCTAGCAGATGGTCAATACATATATGGTTGTGCACATGTTTGCATGCATGAGTACAGAATACACCTATGTGCCTATATCATACTTTTGATAGGTACCCACAGGACGCCTAGAGATTTTGAAAAAATCATGTGTTAATGTAACACCGGTGGGCTTCCAGTGGTGTTGGTTTGTGTTTCAAAGTTCGCATGATTCTGTAAATTGCAAATTTTATAGCAGTTTTTATATGAAAGACAATAATATATAGAGCATCAAGTAAACTTCAAAGCTTATTTTGTCACACTCCTAATCAATTGCCCTAGCAGATAGTCAATACATACATGGTTGCGCACATGTTTGCATGCATGACTACGGAATACACCTATGTACCTATATCATACTTTTGACGGGTACCACAGGACGCCAGAGATTTTGACACACAAGTCCTGTTCATCTAACACCGGTTAGGCTTCCAATGGTGTTGGTATGTGTCTCACCTTTCGTAGAGTTCACATGATTCTGTCAATTGCAAAATTTATAGGAGACTGAAATGAGGAACTGACAGACGCAAGGCACTTAAGTAGAAAACTAGCCTGTTAAAATATACACAAGAATGAGAATGAGACTGAAGAGACGTCCATACAACTGTTTTAGGTTGAACTATAAAGATAGAAAAAAATATAAAAACTGAACCACATGTACTTCTCGGTGTAGAAAACGATGCATTTAATGTTCAACAACAAGTTAGCTCTGACCACTTCAGTTTCATACTTTCCTTGTATGTCTATGTTTTTATTTCTAAAATAATTATTGTTGAAGAGAGCTTTCTTACAGAATATTTCATATTTACATAAAGCTTGCATAATTCATGTACATAATCTAATCCAGATATCTTCTGGATCCCAAGGGGATCATTTGACAGTGTAGGTCATAACCCAGTAGCACCAGCAGGGAAAGGTCTAGCAAAAAGTTCAAGTCTGCACATATGAAATTGCAAATTAAAATCAACAGGATAGCTTAGGAGGGAGAATGACATATTCATTACATGATACTCTCAATCATTACAAAATCAAATACATTGTGTTCAGTTCATGTTTATGACATCATCTTTACACCTAACTGACCCCGCATTGATCTTACATTACAGTAGTCAACATTCGCTCACAAGCTAAGGGTGTGTTTGGCAACTCCAGAAAACTAGTACCAATGGATGCAACCTTGGCCCAAAAGCTAGTTTTTAGTTCGGTAACAATTGGGCCAAGGTTGAACTAGTTTTATTTTGTTCAAATTCTAACCTTTGAAGCAGTTTTCTTATGGACCAATCCCTACTTGGACTAACTTTGGCCTAGTTAAAGGAAAATTAGACCTGGCCTAGATTCTCCTATGTAATTTTCCTTTAGGTATCTAGGCACCTAACCAAGCAATAAATTCATTAGGTAGTGAAAATCAAAAAGGCAGATGCTTAGGGTAGCCACCAGCAGATGAATTGCATGCAGTTAATGGATTTAGGACTACAGATGGCTATATCATAACAGCTAGGCACCTTGAAGGCAGTCGGAAGATTTTAATCTATACTACATATTAAGAGAACCCCCTTTTGCTTTATGTGAGCCACATTTTTAGAATGCCAAAAATACCCTCACTTGGAAAAATACTAACAAAATGCCCTCACACTTTGAAAAATCTAAGGAAATGCTCTCACACTTCGAAAAAATCTAAGGAAATGCCCTCACAATCCGAAAACCATGCTGTAGTTGCATATAAATTCAAAGATAGTAACACTTGTAATGTGACCTTACACCAAAAAAAGCAGAAGTTCCACATTTTCACTCCAATAGATCCCACTTATAGTAGTGGCATTCACAATAAGTGCTATTTAAAAACCACCAGACACACCTGCAAGGTCCAATTGGATAGTGTAGGCATCAAGGCTCGCAAACTAAGAAAAATGAAATTGAGGCTTGCAAACCAAATATCTTATAAACCAAGCAATTTATACTCATATTGACACCTAATTGTAATGTTTCATCTCTTTTTTCAACAAAGGCTCATGTGGACACCTAACTCATTTGAGCATTCATCTTGTCATTTAATCATTTGACCCCCCACCCCACCTCTTTCTCAACCATATCTGATTTATGCAAGTTTATCTCGTGATCACCCTTGCCAAGCCATATATCACAAATCCATACATCTCTAACAAATCTGAAATCAATTGGCAATTTACAGAATTTTGGATTCATTACTTTTTCATTAAATTTGTCTAGTAATCTCGAACATCTGCATAGTCATTCTTATTTACACATTAACATGTATTATTCTTCAACCATATTATTCCACTCCATCAATTAATATATTTTTTATACTACTTCATAGTGCAAGTCATGTGCATCATTATTTAATACCATTTTGATATTTAAAAATATTACCCTTTGGATCCCCAAAAAAATTATCAAAAACCAAACATCTTAAAAATAAAAAGCCAGCTCATTTCGTAGTCCACATTCCATATGTTTTAATCTTCAACTTTCATTCAGTGAGGTTATTACATTCTCACCCTCTTAACTTTGACCTCAAAGTTTACATACATTTTCATTCAAAAAGATGGGGACATCTTTCCTTTCTTCTTCTTGTTCACAGGTTGCTCTTCATAAGGATGGTATTTCAGTGCGACCTTTGCTAATGAGAATTTATGAGATCACGTAGGAAGAACTGAAAGATCTGAAAAGTAAATTGATTGCTCCATATATGTCATATTTTCATCGTGTTTGAGCAGCTTGATGTTTATCGGGTTTGATCGGCTCATAATCCAAGATGTGAGATGGATTAGATTTGTTTTCTAAACATAGACATATAGAAATACACACTAATATCACAGAAGGATGGAGGTAGGACTATTCTGTATTCTACATATCCAACTTTAAAGCACAACTTGTCACTCCCCCAGGGTCAAATAGTTAAACAATAACATGAAGGCTCAAATACATTAGATGTCAACAAGAGTGATCATTGAAAAAAGGAGATGAGGGGCAACGGTTAGGTGTCAACATAAGTGCAAATTGCTTGCTTTGTAAGATGTTTGGCTTGCAAGCTCTCATTCATTTTGCTTAGCCTACAAGCCTTGACGCACATACTATCCAATCGGATCATGGGGCAGGACAACCACATACTCCAAAGAAGATCATTTGCACTCTATTTCAAAACCTAACACCACTTACCTTGTGAACCTCTATAACTACAAGAAACAAGGTAATTCTTGAACTAATTGGCAACCTATGTTGCATGGATATGGATATGGGTACAGGTTCGGGTACGGGACATGGCAAATATGTAGAAAGCAAGGTACAAGGACACAACAATATAAATATTTATGTACACATGTATTATATATTGGAATTAATAATTTATATGAGAACAATGATGAGAATTAAATTACTATAACATTTTTATGCTTCTTTTATTATGAGCTTTATATATTGGAAAATCACTAGTTTCTAAACTAGACATCCAAACGACCCTTCAAAATAACAATTTGGGACCTAAACTATGCCCAACAAGTTTCAAGAAGTGGATGTGAAGTGTAAGATATATGTCCAATAAATGTATGACAAGTGTTTTAAGCAACATGTATTGAACAATTGAATATATGCCCACATAAATGTATGCATATATGCAAGGAGTGTCCAAGGGGTTTAGGTACGAATACGTGTACGGGTACGACTTCAGATTAGAAGTACCCACGTAACATAGTTCATAGCACATATTTCTTGTCTATGCAGACAACTATGTGTTTTCTTCAATATCATTGACAAGTATGAGCATATTCTTCAAAATGATGTCAACCATCCAGCTTTATTATGCACCTTATAAGCTACTTGACCAAGGTTGCAATAAAGTTCATCATTCCCTTAGTGGTGCTTATATGTGTATCTCTTTATAAGGGGAAAATACTAGTTCAATAACACGCAATTACATGCTATGCATCAGAATATGATAATATTTTCAAGTTTAATGCTCGCATGTTAGTACAATGTTAGTGCTTGGTGAAAATGATGAGAGATGAACAAAGTCCACTTCAAGTCGGTGAATACGGCATTGATATTTACATGTTAATACAAACTATTATCGCTTATATATCTTGTATTGTTTTGCTAGACAACTCGGAAACAAATGTCTAGATCAGTGTTGATTTTGACATATATCAAATGATGATTTTTCCCGAAAAACTGCTTGATCCTTATGAAGGAGGTCAACTCCTAGTCTAATTACCATGATTAGTTAATAATTTCACTCCCTCTTTTTCCTTTCCATTCTTCATTTCCTTCATAGAACCATTAATTTCATCTTTTTAACCAACATTTACCAAGAAAAGAGCATGTTAAATGTGCCCTCCACTTGATTTTGCATTCCTTTGCAATTTCTTCTTTTCTTTACATGTTTTTCACTCTATTCTTCCTTCTTTCCTAATCAATTTCCTTTGTATTGAATTCTCTTGTACCCTGACATGTTCATGAAGAAATCCACTATTCACATGATCCAAAGTGATCCCAAGATTATGACTATGTTTGGCAAACCGTATGTCGTGGAACCTTATAAGTGAACCTCCTTATAAGTAAAAGGATGTTTCGAGGAGCTTATTTTTTGTCAAAGAAGGTTTCCCTAGTTTCTCTATATCTACATGTTTAGTGACAATTCAAATATGCTTATCTTTTAAGCCTCATTAAAAGGTTGGTGTTTTCCAACTTTTGAAAACTAGCTTATAAGCTCATCTAAATGAGCTAAAATTTGACCAACCAGCTGGGTTTTATACTCATACAAGTTCTGTGCATGTTTAACATGATCATGAAAGCCAAAATCACCAAAAGCTATGACAGGTTATAATTTCTTTTTTTTAACTCGCAAACACCCTTTAAATCCCCTTTGTAAGAGGGAAAAATAATCCTTTGTCACACGATAAGTAAACCTCCTTTGTAAGAGGGCAAAACAATCTTTTGTGCAGGCTGCAGCAGTAAGAAAATCTCTTTATAAGGCTAAAAAAAATTGGCAAAATCCCCAACTTATCATTTTCCTATTTATAAGGGGAAATGAGTAAAAATTAAAATTGAGCTCTTCGATCTTATATAAGGGAAAACACACTTATATAACTAAAATAAGTGAGTTCCCTCTATATCTATCAAGTAACAGACATATTCATCGACAGATTCCAAATTAAAAGCAGTACCTAAGAATACAAAAAGATCTGAAAAAAAATAACATTTTAACAGCGTAAACCCTAAAATTGCTAACATAGGACACCAAATCTTCATTACTCCAACCCAAATCATACAAAACTCTCATGAAGCAATCAAATACCTTACAACAGCGCAATGCAACCTTCATTTAATCACATAAACAAATAAAAGGGAGTAAATTGATGGATCTTCAAAAATTACGGCATGCTACCAATATTCTAAGTACATAAACCCAAAAATTCTAAGAAATAAAAAAAAAATCAGCACACCAGACGAGCAGAACGGAAACCTAGAGGATGAGAAGCGAAAGGAGATTAGGGTTTACCTCCTCCGCGGAGAATCAGCCTGCGAGAAAGACGATATCAAAAGATGCGTTAGGTTTAGGGCTTGTAAAAGAGATAAAATTGGGGAGGGAGAGGGAAATCGAAGAAGATAAAATACCATTTTCTACGGGGATCGAAGCGATTAAAAGGGAAACTGACGGGGGCTAGGGTTTTCGATTTTGGATTTGCGACAGGAGGAGTTGGGGGATTGGACATGTCAAATAGCGTTCGGTGCATCTGAGTCGGGTCGGGTGGTAGAACGCAGCTCACGGACCCGATACATTGGATGGATTGAGTTTTGCCATTCGAACGAGGCTCGCTACATTTTTGGGCATGTGTGTAAATATGGAGGAAATAATATAACGAATATATAACTTCGAAAAACGAGCACGTAAGAAATTTTTAATACTTTATCAGGAAAAAAAAAATTAATAGGTTTTGTTAACAAGTGCCCCCGCTGGTTAAGAGTCATTAACTAGTCTCGATGATGTGTTCTAAAATAGCGTTTAAGTGCATGACTGATGTGTGGGGCATGCAAATGGCGAACCTAAGGGCCTGTTTGGATTCATAGGGGGTGAAGGGAAGTTAAGGGAAACTGAGTGAAGGAAAGGGAAGAGAATTCTCTTCCCCTTGGTTACACCCCAATTTGGGGGGTAACAATTTTTATACTATTAGGGGGTGAACCAAGGTGAATGGAGGTGAATTAACTTCACCTTCTAAGTGTTCCCAAACAAGATGAATGGAGGTGAATAGTTCCCCTAACTTCCCTTCACCCTCATTCCCCTCAATCCAAACAAGCCCTAAGGGAAACTGAGAGAAGGGAAGGGAAGGGAAGTGAAGGGAGTTCTCTTCCCTTTTAGTTACACCCCAATTTAAGGGGTAACAAATTTTATACTATTAGGGGGTGAACCAAAGGGAACTAGGGTGAATTAACTTCACCTCCTAAGTGTTCCCAAACAAGATGAATGGAGGTGAATGGTTCCCCTAACTTCCTTTCACCTTCATTCCCCTCAATCCAAACAAGGCCTAAGAGAAATGAGTGTATTAAAGAAGTCTAAAGTGGTTCTTGAAATGTGTAAGAAAAGAGTGGGAATGTAGAGATTAGGTGAGCGTGATTATTCCAAAAAAAATGTTGACAACAAGGAGAGAAAATGAAAGAAAGAGGAGAGAAAATGAGAAAAATAAAAAAAAATAAAACCAAAAGACGAAGCAGATAAAGAGATGGAGTAAATTAAGTGATAAAACTAGAAATCTAGGATTGAAGTCACTATCCTATTTGGATTTAAAAACTATACTCTCTTAATGTTCATATTACTTAGAATTCTTAAGCATAGATTATTAAGTTATTTAAAAACTATACTAGTCGTGATCAGAAATAAACAACTAGATAGTAATTCTAAAATTGAAAAAATATAAACTATCAAACTATTTAAAATAAGTATAGCCTGTCAAATTCTTTTTCTACTAATTAATATTTTAGTTGATTTCTTAAACATGATCATTTTAAGCACAAAAAGTTAGCAACTCGAAATTTAAAAAGAAAATTAAACTATTTTTATCTAATCTTAGAAATCCTAAAGAAATTAGCTATTTATGCTACAAAAGTAAATAAACTCTGAATTGCAAGGCATGAATGAAGAGCAATGAATTAAAAATCTAAACTACAAATTATTAAGTTATTAAAATAAACATAACCTATCAAAAGCATATTCAAGCAAAATTACTATTCATGATTAGAAATAAACAACTAGATAGTAATTCTAAAATTAAAAAAGCATAAACTATCAAACCATTTAAGATAAGTATAGCTTATCAAATTCTTTTTCTACTAATTAGTATTCCAGTTGATTATCTTAAGCATGATCATTTTGAGCACAAAAATGTAGCAATTTAAATTTTAAAAAGAAAATTAAACTATTTTTATCTAATCTTAGAAATCCTAAAGAATTTAGCTACTTATACTACAAAAGCAAATAAATTCTAAATTACAAGGCATGAATAAAGAGCAATGAATTAAAAATCTAAACTACAAAGCAAGAATAGAAGGCAAGAAATTAAAATCTAAACTATAATACATGAATAAAAAGCAAGAATTAAAAATCTAAACTATAAAGTATGAAATAAAAATAAGAAATAAAATCATAAATATGCAAATTTAAACAAGAAAATAAAAGATGGAAAATGAAAATTTACATTATAAGGGGTTGGCCCCCTTGTGAAGCAAATCTTCATCAACCAAAGAGAAGAAGAAAATTAAAAAGAGGGAAATTTTTCTTATTTATTGCAAACTAAAGTTAATGTAGGCGTCAAAAATTACCTATAGGATATCACACATAGCTCAAGATGAAAAGAAGGCGTTAAACGCCATTATCTAAGTTATAAAGGATCATCCAAAGCCAAAGATCAATTAAGGAATGTACAAGAAGCGCATCACATAAGTTTCAAGGCACAAATCGTGTCTCAGAAACTATGAGAAGACTCATAGTTTTTGAGACAGTTGTGGTTATCTCGGAAGTTATGAGGGCAAATCATAGTTTCTGAAACACTCGCGACTGTCTCGGAAACTAGAGTGTACTTGGTGACAGTTTTCTCGAGTTTTGGGCGATCCACGTGGCTTCATAATTGCTGGGGACCATCCATAATCGTGGGGGAGATATTACAAGCGAAAATCACGCCAATAACTGCTGAAATAATGGCATTAAATCGTAGTGGGAACGGTTATAAAATGGACAGGAACGAACCCTTTTTCCGAGACAGCTGCGAGTGTCTCGAAAATAGGGATTTTGTCGACTTATTTTGTTTCAACTTCAAACTTCAGTTACGGTTCTTATAGGTTATAAATACCTTCATAGGATCATTACTAAGGAGGACGAAGTATCATTGAGCAGAATAGAGCATAGATTTGAACGTTCTAAGCAAGGGAGAGAGAGTCTTCATCACTTGCAAGCCTTTCAGAGCTCTTGTGATTCCTTGAGATCTAAGCTTTGACTTAATCTCGAGAAGAGTATTTTATCTTACTTTGCTAAGATATTCACTTCTGTCTTTATTTCTAAAACGAAACATCGACCTTAAGCCTTCTTCACAGTTCAACTTGGATATGTGATTTGGTCGTCTACGGGCTAACGCACCCCCGGCATAGGTAAAGATCACACGCAAGCAGCGAACGATAAACGTTCATGCGTGTGTTTTTAGGAAGTTGTTTGTTTGTAACGAGAAGTCTTATAAAAAGATCTGTTTCTCAGAATTTATTGTATTCGACAAACGAGTTGTAATGAGTTCAATAAATAAACTAATTTCCGACACAAACACGCTGGTGACCACAGTGGAAGGCAATGGTCTCGTTGTCGAGATCGTCATGTCGCAACCAATCAAGATCACGGTTGAATCCATAGTTGAGTATGAATTCGACCAAGCAAAGTTTGAGGAGTATCTATCATCCTCATCCTCAAGATCTTTCTCACCTCACAAATGCAGGAAAATTTCATCTTTGAAGAAGGTTTTCCAGTCTTCAACTATAATAAAATCTAAGGGTGAAGACTCTCGCGCGATTGTTGTTGAGGCTACCCGTCACAATGCTTCTCCGACAATCAACAAGGCTGAGACCTCTGCTCACAAGGACTTCTCTCCAGTTAAGGAGTCAATGAATCAAAGCTCATCGCCATTGGCGAAGAGGGCTCGTCAGAGACAACGTCAACATCGCGCTCGTCAAATAGCTAAGGCATTAGAACAAGTCGATGGGGTTCGCTACTACGTGGATCTAGAGTCGAGCAAACAAGAAGTGGTCCACTTGCCTCAACGACAAACCACTCATATTTTTGTTAAGCTAACAACGGAGGAATGAGTTCTCGTCAAACGAGCCCGTTCGACCCTTAAAGAGCGCATTCAAAAGCATAATACAAACGCCACTCGTGCTCGTGCACTTTTGCAACAATCACAAGAAGGGAAGAAGGAAATAGTGTCCAAAGAATCACAAAGAACTCACAAAGTTTGGATCCCAAAATCTGAACTTACGTGAGAATCAGAATCGTGGAATACTTTCTTCAACCGAGACAATTGCGAGTGTCTTGGACAAAGGGACCTTATCCAAGACACCAGCAGCTGTCTCGGCAAAGGGAGCAGTATCCAAGACACACGCAAGTGTCTCGGACAAAGGCCATCTCCCGAGAGCTCTCCTTCAACTCCGTCGACGTCTACTACTCGCTCGTCTACTGTAACCACATCTGCTACTCCACCAATGAAGCTTTGGGTCAGTCCTAACCTGTTAAGGTTTAGAATTACAATGGCGAATCGTCTTGGTCTTTTGCACGAGGATCAAGGCAAAGCTCCAGTCAAAGAATGCTTGGGTTCGATGACTAAATTCCAAGTGACTTCTTACGCAGAGGATTGCTCGCATCCTCCCGCCAAGTCAAAGAAATCCCAGGAGGAGAAAATTCCAATTTCCATATGCTTGGGAGTTCGCATCAGAACTCAGGAGCCCGTTAAAACTCCGCACCTGCAAGGGGGTAGTTCGAAACGCGTGACTCCTGATATGATCTTGGATCGCTCAAAGGCGATGGCAAGTCTTCTTGAGAATGTCAACAAGGCTCAACCATACCAACTGTTAATAGGTTGCTTCGGTCATCATACCAACATGTTGTACTATCAGATTGGAAGTAAGAATAAGTCTCGAAAGAGGACTGTTCGAGAAACAAGCCCTCATTGTGTATGTGAGAAGTTCATCAAAGCAGTGTTATCTGAATGTAGCTACTCCAAAGCCTCACCACCAAGAGTCTCTGTATTTCAAAGACTTTCTACTAAAAAGTCAAAGTCCAAGTCAAGATGTTTCCGCAAGAGAAGATCTGTCGTTCAAGATGATAAGCTTCCAAAGGTCACCATTAATATGACAGATAGAGGAAAATGACATTCAACTAATTATGACCCTGTTTTTTCTCCAGGAGGAAGAGTTGGTCAGGGTCTCTCTCACAGAATATCACGGCTACAACTGAGGGCCACTAGACGTAGAGATTACAGAAGAATGCACAAATGGTTGTCTTCAAATGAGGACCTCTCAGATACTTGTTTTGCTGTTGTATCCGACGACACAATATCCAATGTAGGACAGGCTAGAGAGGTATTCATCATAACACCTGATCAATTAGCTCAAATACTGCAATAAGCTCTAGCTAAGCAACAAGAAGAAATCAGAGTTGAGATGAGAATGGAGATGGAGTTGA